GTGACGTACTGACGCTAGGGGCCATACACAATTCCAAACTTTCCGATATGATTACCGATAAATTTTGTAAACCGAATAAAGCCCAATAATTCCTCGCCTGGCCGGTATCGAACCCGAGATCCTTACTCGACAGTCGCACTTGCGGTTGCAACCACTAACGAGGTAGTTCACCTGACTCTTAAACATTTACAATAATACTCATTACCCTCGATCTATCGTTCCTACGTATATTTTTTAAAGAATTTTAGTTCAAACCATTGATGAGTTGTGGGCATTTTTTTTTCTTCTATTTGTAACAACAAAACTTGCAAAGGCGTTACCAACCATGTAGGTAAGGTTTTAGGCGTGGCATTTTATTCTGTGAGGAGAGCTCCCCGAAAATGATGGCACAATAAAACAGTAGGCATTTTGGACAACCACAACTCTATTACTTACCTGACAGAATGCAGCAACATTACGTCTACATTTCACATTGGTGATAGCAGTTTCGTTTCATTTGCTAATAGCAGTTAGGCTACCATCAATTTAAATATCCGTTTAATATACTTTTCTTTTGAGGATATAAATCTTTTCCCGCCTTGGGCGAGTTGAGAGGGAGTGTCAGACTCTTACTGACTTCAAACCACGTCGTTCCTACACCTGTTCGAGCCGGAGCCCCGGTAAACCAGCCAGGTTATCTGCAACTCCGTTCGAGCATCAACGGCCCTTATGTGCTGTTAAAAAAGTTCTTTGAGCTGCGCGAACGCGAAGCGCTATACGCTTTACCTAAGCATTTATGATACCAACCTACATACTTTACAAAAGAAGAAAAATCAGGATAAATACTTAGGTGTCATTTAAGAGCAACGCAGATGAAATAACAGGCGAACCTAGTTTTTGTACTATGGCTAAAGATGTCAAGCCATTGTTTTCTAGATAATGGATGCTGATGTTAATACTGTTGCCATAACGATGACCTTAGTCCAAACCCGGTTAGGTCAAAGTTTTGTTACGTTTTGGCGCGCGTCCATTCCCTCCTAGGCTATATTTATTCCACAATGATACATATATGATCACTATAATATGTTTATTTTTAACTCTTGTAAATGGGTCGTGCGTATTCCTTCGCTATTTTGCAATTTCCGTAGTTTGTACTAGAAAAGTGAACTACTATCCTATATTCTATAGCCTACTTACCTACCGCAATATATTGCTGCTTTGAGCAGCTTGTTTCCTACGCATATAATGTACCAATACCAGCGCAGCTATATGAACTATAGTAGTATTACGTAGTAATTAAAAGTCTACTTAAAATTAGTGAAGTTTCGTTCATTTTACTTTGGCAAAATTTTTAGATTATTGGTGCTATATCCATGTGAGCTTAAGTACATAGTTGACAAATAATAAGTTTTTTAGATCTAAGGATCTACATCAGGATCACATACATACACACAAATTCCCATTGACATCACACCTAAACTACAATTTGTGGATCACATAGAGTTGTTCGATACGGGTATCGCACTCGCAACATGTTGCTCAGCCACTGCGCTAACCGTGCTGTCTACCTAAGTCAAAAGATCATTTGGGTTCATAATATTTTACATACTATGTTTAAGCCATGGTGGAGGCTCATATTCATGAACAGCATTCCGCGTCCCGGGACGCGGCGACTGTCGCGCCGCTACTGGTGTAAATAGTCTAGTTCCTAGCCAAACAGTTACTTCAGTACGCCGAAAACATGATAATTAATTTAGTAGATATGTCTCATGAAAGTCTTAATATAAATACTACGTTCAAGTTACAAATCGTATAAAAACCAATAATAAACCACATCTAAGTATACTTATGGTTGGTACCTACATAGCACTCACCTAGGCTCCATCCATACATTTCTGAAAATTCTCTAGGAAGTAAGTCTATAGTTAGCAACAATCTTACATTATGGGTACTCTAGGTACAACGTCATTGCAATCGTAAATAATTCGCTTACACAAGCGTAACCTTTAAAAATGTATTTGTGAAAATTACATACTTACAGAAATATTATTTTTACCCTTGATGTTAACAAAGGTTTTTCAGGAAACTGTGTAAGGTTTCCTTAACATTTAAGGTTAAATAGAACCCCTTCTTGAACTTGAAAGTTTGTCCAAGTCCAAGTTTGTTTCAAGGCTTTTATTATTGTTATACAAATAGATGTGGCAGGTATTAATTTGTAGAGATGTGTGGGCTATGGTTTATGCCGAGAAAGTAGTTAATAAAAAATACAATTAAATATTTTCAAAGGCTTTTTCTACAAATCCAAATGTTGTACATATTTGTAGAGGTAGAAAGACACCGCAACGAAAAGATAATGTTTTTTTCGTTTTTTTTGGAAATTCTGGCTTCAGAGTGAAATGGAGGGAGCATACAGCATAAATGACGGAAACTAACCCCTCTTTAGTTAGATTTTCCATTCCATTCATAAACCTATACAATAAGCGGACGACTGATTGGTGCATTCCATCCATTAATTGAACCGTTTGGCCGACTACAAAAATGGTCGATTAGTCGGCTTTACCGACTATTCGTTCCGGTCACATCTCTAATTGTGTGAGAACTTGATCTTAATATTACGCTACGGAAAATTACTGATTGCGTATCACGTACCTAATTCAGGTGCGGCATTGGGGGTCGAATTTTCTTTCACAACTTTCATTGTTTTAATGTTATTTGTGATTCATGAATAGAGGGGTTCGTAATGTCATTATAAATAAATAGGGAAAGCCTCTCTACCATATAGAGTGAACATAAAATAAAAATAACTTTGTTGTAGTTAAACCCTTGTACCTATTTTAAGCATTTCTTTGTTTGGGAGCTATTTCGACTTACGTACTGTTAGATTTTGATATGGTAAGTTCTCTTCTTAAAGGAAACACTGCAGTTCGAAGAATAAAATAACTTTTATTTAACTTCACAAATTAAAGGGTATTATAATTTCGAGTGTGACCCACGAGTGCACGGGATTATGGATGGAATGCGACTGACTGTTTTTGTATAGGACGGGGTTGTATGCATTTGAGGCGAGGAGTGAAGTGTCAGCACTGTGACGGGGATAAGGATGTGATATTCCTTGGGTATAACAGTACGTAATAATAACAGAAATGGTAGGTACTTATACCTATATGTTTTTAATTTTACCTATCCAATCACTTACCTACTTAGGAACTTAATACTAAGGGCTATAATCAATGAGAAAACGTCTAAGGTTTCACTCAAGGTGTTGCTGAATATTTCAATTTCGAAGTTCTCAGCAAATAAAGTTCTGTACAAACTTACTCGTATGTATTTGATTAGGTCTATATTACAACTACGCAATTATGATTTTAGATTGTTGTATTTAACAGTACAAATCTGCATTGACTTTGTTAATTGATTTTCTTGTCGTCAGTTAGAAAAGTAAACATTGCTGCTGAGAACAGCTGAAATTATTCTTATATTATGTACTTACAGAAGCAACAAAGTTTACGCACCGTATGTTATTAAACATTCACAGACCGTACACCTACACCATAGGCATCACAGATGCGTTGTTGGCCACCCAATGATATTCTATGGCCACCCAGGAATTTAATTATGTAAGTTTTTTTGAAGAACCTTTGGCTCTCGCAGGGGAACCGCAGACATTTTCGCTAGGTACCTATAGTTTTACAGTTTATACCTTCATAACAAAAGCAAACGAAATTTTTTAACAAATTTTATTTCCTTTATAATTATACAAAAAAAGGAAGTGTACAAAATGCATAACGCGATCTGAGACACTACGTTAACAGAGAGGTTAATATGTTTATAACTAGGTAACAATATTATATAAATAATAATTATTATTGACTTAAAATATGCCATTGAAAAAGCAAGACAGTAAAAGCAACATTATTGGCAGGATAGAAAAATATGTACAAGACCAGGTGATTGGCACATTTAGCTTGGTGATTTCATTTAGCTGTGAGGATTAGCAATAACTGGAGTTACCTGAATTTGAGCTAATATCGATGAAGTAGATCTACAAAGATGTCTTTCTTTCACTATATTCTTTGAGATTTCACCAAATGTTGAGTGGTTTCACTGATGAACTTTTATGCATTACTGATTTCTTTGGCTAGTAGATTGTACCTATGTGCTTTTGCGGTGCCTCGGAGGGTCTAGGGTTGAAACATTTAATATAATTAAACTACCTCTATATACATAGTAGACGCTTTAGAGATAATCTTTTGAATTTTAGCTAAGGATGATCAAAAACAATCTGTATTTAGTAGATGTGACTTTTACTGTCTATTGGTACCAAAACCTAGACTCGTGTCTTAGTTTCTTATTTTTGATGTGTTACGAAACTTAATTTATGTTTAATTTATTATGTTAAAATTAAACAATGTTTGTGTAGGGTTTAAAAAGTAGACGCTGAATTGTTTTCACAAAAAGTAACCTACCTAATATTTTATTCAATTTCGTTCTCAGTAATCGCAATGTACTTGAATCTGAATCTAAATAGGTACATAACTTTTTAATATTATAATCTGTTTTATATCTTATAGCAGGAACAAAATAAAGTTTTAATTTGAAACTAGGAAACGTTGGGTTTATAGTAGGTGACAAACAGTCGATCCGTTTTTGGTGCTTATGCAAAATTTTTCGAAACTTTATCGTTGCATTATGATGCGTTTGTCCCAGAGTGAAAAAACATAAAATAAACGTAAAAACAAGGTTTTTTTCATTATTTAACACTACTACGGAATAAGGTTCACTACAATAAGATTTTTGACTAGAAGTTAATACTTTTTTTCTATAATAATTGTATGTTAAAGGTAAAAATATTTATTTGATTGTTACGATTGTTAATACTTGTTTGTAATAACTAGACCGTATGTGAGTAATCTTTTAGACTCAAGCACCATCAGGATCTTAAAATAATATAACGAATGACTTAAAATTACAATAAAACTATAATGTTCATTAAAAATAAACTGTAGTGGAAAGTCTGCCTTGCATAAAATGCGTATTTACTTCTTTTCATAAAACGTTTGCATCTTACAGTTCATGTCAATAAATAACCAGACTTGTTCGGACGCTACAATGTTCATAACAGTTTTAAACAAACAAAATTAAATAAATAGAAGGTGACTAGATATCACAATTTACAATACTGGACATTTCTCCGCAAATCATGTGTCCTCATCACAAATTAAAATCAACAATACAGTATTCCGCGCGTCCAACAAGTCTGTCGAACTTAAAACTAATTCGTAATTTACATTGACTTTATACCAAAAACTCGATGAAGTACAAGATCATGGTTTTCCATCAGGCGGGTTGAAGAACTCCCAGTGGTGATGGTGCACCGCCCTTGTTAGATTTTGATATGGTAAGTTCTCTTCTTAAAGGAAACACTGCAGTTCGAAGAATAAAATAACTTTTATTTAACTTCACAAATTAAAGGGTATTATAATTTCGAGTGTGACCCACGAGTGCACGGGATTATGGATGGAATGCGACTGACTGTTTTTGTATAGGACGGGGTTGTATGCATTTGAGGCGAGGAGTGAAGTGTCAGCACTGTGACGGGGATAAGGATGTGATATTCCTTGGGTATAACAGTACGTAATAATAACAGAAATGGTAGGTACTTATACCTATATGTTTTTAATTTTACCTATCCAATCACTTACCTACTTAGGAACTTAATACTAAGGGCTATAATCAATGAGAAAACGTCTAAGGTTTCACTCAAGGTGTTGCTGAATATTTCAATTTCGAAGTTCTCAGCAAATAAAGTTCTGTACAAACTTACTCGTATGTATTTGATTAGGTCTATATTACAACTACGCAATTATGATTTTAGATTGTTGTATTTAACAGTACAAATCTGCATTGACTTTGTTAATTGATTTTCTTGTCGTCAGTTAGAAAAGTAAACATTGCTGCTGAGAACAGCTGAAATTATTCTTATATTATGTACTTACAGAAGCAACAAAGTTTACGCACCGTATGTTATTAAACATTCACAGACCGTACACCTACACCATAGGCATCACAGATGCGTTGTTGGCCACCCAATGATATTCTATGGCCACCCAGGAATTTAATTATGTAAGTTTTTTTGAAGAACCTTTGGCTCTCGCAGGGGAACCGCAGACATTTTCGCTAGGTACCTATAGTTTTACAGTTTATACCTTCATAACAAAAGCAAACGAAATTTTTTAACAAATTTTATTTCCTTTATAATTATACAAAAAAAGGAAGTGTACAAAATGCATAACGCGATCTGAGACACTACGTTAACAGAGAGGTTAATATGTTTATAACTAGGTAACAATATTATATAAATAATAATTATTATTGACTTAAAATATGCCATTGAAAAAGCAAGACAGTAAAAGCAACATTATTGGCAGGATAGAAAAATATGTACAAGACCAGGTGATTGGCACATTTAGCTTGGTGATTTCATTTAGCTGTGAGGATTAGCAATAACTGGAGTTACCTGAATTTGAGCTAATATCGATGAAGTAGATCTACAAAGATGTCTTTCTTTCACTATATTCTTTGAGATTTCACCAAATGTTGAGTGGTTTCACTGATGAACTTTTATGCATTACTGATTTCTTTGGCTAGTAGATTGTACCTATGTGCTTTTGCGGTGCCTCGGAGGGTCTAGGGTTGAAACATTTAATATAATTAAACTACCTCTATATACATAGTAGACGCTTTAGAGATAATCTTTTGAATTTTAGCTAAGGATGATCAAAAACAATCTGTATTTAGTAGATGTGACTTTTACTGTCTATTGGTACCAAAACCTAGACTCGTGTCTTAGTTTCTTATTTTTGATGTGTTACGAAACTTAATTTATGTTTAATTTATTATGTTAAAATTAAACAATGTTTGTGTAGGGTTTAAAAAGTAGACGCTGAATTGTTTTCACAAAAAGTAACCTACCTAATATTTTATTCAATTTCGTTCTCAGTAATCGCAATGTACTTGAATCTGAATCTAAATAGGTACATAACTTTTTAATATTATAATCTGTTTTATATCTTATAGCAGGAACAAAATAAAGTTTTAATTTGAAACTAGGAAACGTTGGGTTTATAGTAGGTGACAAACAGTCGATCCGTTTTTGGTGCTTATGCAAAATTTTTCGAAACTTTATCGTTGCATTATGATGCGTTTGTCCCAGAGTGAAAAAACATAAAATAAACGTAAAAACAAGGTTTTTTTCATTATTTAACACTACTACGGAATAAGGTTCACTACAATAAGATTTTTGACTAGAAGTTAATACTTTTTTTCTATAATAATTGTATGTTAAAGGTAAAAATATTTATTTGATTGTTACGATTGTTAATACTTGTTTGTAATAACTAGACCGTATGTGAGTAATCTTTTAGACTCAAGCACCATCAGGATCTTAAAATAATATAACGAATGACTTAAAATTACAATAAAACTATAATGTTCATTAAAAATAAACTGTAGTGGAAAGTCTGCCTTGCATAAAATGCGTATTTACTTCTTTTCATAAAACGTTTGCATCTTACAGTTCATGTCAATAAATAACCAGACTTGTTCGGACGCTACAATGTTCATAACAGTTTTAAACAAACAAAATTAAATAAATAGAAGGTGACTAGATATCACAATTTACAATACTGGACATTTCTCCGCAAATCATGTGTCCTCATCACAAATTAAAATCAACAATACAGTATTCCGCGCGTCCAACAAGTCTGTCGAACTTAAAACTAATTCGTAATTTACATTGACTTTATACCAAAAACTCGATGAAGTACAAGATCATGGTTTTCCATCAGGCGGGTTGAAGAACTCCCAGTGGTGATGGTGCACCGCCCGGCTGTCACTCAGCCCGAACATGATCAGCCCTGCGACTAGCACCAGGAATATTACCATCGCCATCTGTACGTCCTTCTTGTCTTCAGTGCCGCTGATGTATGACATGAACGAGTTGAACATACTCCTTATAGTTCTGGTAATAGAAGAATGGCAGACGCGCAGAAATTGCGCTCCCGCCTCGGTTATTGTAGGCTCATGCGTTCTCACGGGAGCGGCCATACGGCGAGGGGAGGGACGTGGTCTGCCGTCGTCCGAACTTGATTCAGAATGAGGAGCAGCAGGTTTCCTTTTAGCTCGTCGAGTGGGCGGTGGAGGAGTCTGGTGTTGGGAGTCATGAAAATCAAAATGAGGTCTGTCTCTAAGCGACCGACTAGGGAAGAAAGAAGCAGGAGGTATAGTGATGTCCTGGAGATATGAGTACAACAAAGGAGTCAAATCAGGTGGCGGTGGTCTTTGTGGGGGAGCTCCAGTATCCTCTGCACTTGGAGGTCTTGGAGGAGGTGGTGTTTGAGGAGCTTCCTCTTCAAGAGGTTTAACTTCAGGTTTTGTTTCTGCGGGTATCTCATTAGGAGCAATTTGTTCATCTGTTTGTGTATGTTCCTCTCTACTAACTGGCCTTGGCGTTTCAACGACTTCAAGCATCGTGGGAGCTACTGGTGCTGGTGGTGGAGGCGCATGGGCTGTTGATATTTCAGCAAACTTCTTAACGATCTCATCTATTACTGACTGAGAGAACTCAATTCCACTCACGGAAATGTGCCCGGACTTGGAATCTAACTCCGACACTTGTAATGTCATGCCTTCTATATCAGATACTAAGATTTTGTTAGCTTGTAGTTCAGATACATTTAGTCGCCCCACATCTAAATCTTTCACCTGAAGTCGTTGTGTAACCAAATTATCCAATTGTACTTCTCTACTTGCGTCACTGACTTTTTCAAGAGCCCGTTCTTCACTAGGTGGTACAGTATTTTTAGGTCGCGTACTTGAAATGGCTCTTGGCCTTGGGAGTGGAGGTACATCTGGGATTTGAGATTCGTCGATATCAATTGGTTGAACGGTTAACGAAGCTTCGGTTAACATTTCCTCACGTTCATTTATTCTTGTTGGACTTGACACTCGTCGCTCTACCAAGATCACTGTCGGTGACGTGCGCCCGAGAGTAGGTTTAGATAGCTCAGATATTTTTGGGTCAGAAAGTTTTGAAGACTTATCGGTACGCGATGTAGGTCGTGATACACGAGGGCTTTCACCAAGTTTGGGATGACTCCTTGAAAGCATAGAATCTTCGTCAATAATATCTCGTAATGAGCTGGACATAGAAATGTCCAGATTATCATCCATACCCAATTCGAAGTCTACATCATCTGGTAGCGGGTCAGTTTGAGTAGAAACTTCGATTTCTAAAACATCAGTGGGTTTAGTTTGCTCTTGGTCTTGGTCTTGATCTTGATCTTCCTCAAAGTCACGAGATATTCCCATAGCAGATTCTGCATCTGTGGATATGCTTCTCTGGAAGTCATTCTTTAGGTCCCTTTTTCTTCGCCTTGATCCTCTAGGTGGGCGAGGAGGTGGGGGTAAAGGTCGATCTTTCATTTTATTTACCACTTCTCCTGAATTCAAATCTTTATGGACTTCCTCAAAGGGTTCATCAATTTCAACGTATTGTGTCAAGTCACCACTTACCGAGCGTTTGGTAAAGCTATCCAATGTCATAAGACTAGTTGAAGACTTTTTGCGTGGCGGTCTGTCAGGGCCAACTGGCTTTGTGGGTCCAACTGTGTAATATTTGCGTTCTGAGCTGTTACTCTTACGACGCCTCGGTGGAGTTTTGCTTTTTGAGCGCCTAACGCCTTTGCTTGGTGTATAAGCGCCTTTGTCAACCGTGGCGTAACCGGGGCTGTCGTGGCGTATTTCCCTTTCCATGACAATTTCTTCCGGGTGTGGTATGTTAGTATCCAGTATGAGTGACTCGGCACCATGTGATGTACGGTCATCGTCACAGAGAGAGGTGCCTCTGGAACTTCTAGAGCGGGTGCGTCGCGGTGGCACGGGGCTGTGCTCGGTAACCGTGGAGTGCGCATATTCTTGTGGTACGATGTATTCATGTTCAGTTCTATACACGATGATCTGGAATGAGAATAATGCTGTATTAATACCAAATACATTAATATAAATACTAATAATAAGAGACGTTACACGCTGAGAGATAACCTATTAGTTTTTAAGTTTTGTTTGAATTACTCGTTGTGACACCAATGACGACACAAAAAATTATATTTATTGGGACCAATAATGTAACAGCGGTAGGGCTTAATTAACTTCTATTAGGATTGGTAGATGGAGTGCTGTCGTTTATTAAGTTTATTAGTCTACAGTTAGTAGTTAATCAACTAGTGTTTACAGTAAATGGTGTTTTAACCTTTTTGTGTTAAAGTTATTACCTAATTGTACGTATTAGTGTTTGTTTGTCTTGTATACGCTCAATATGTTGTAAGTTGTAGCTACTGTTATGATTCCAGAGCTTATTTATTTGTGACTAGCTGACCTGGCAAACTTCGTACCGCCTAAAAAATATTTTTCTCACCTTTTAAACCTTCCCTGGACTTCCACGAACATTTCAAGACCAAAATTAGCCAAATCGGATCAGCCGTTCTCGAGTTTTAGCGAGACTAACGAACAACAATTCATTTTTATTTATATATAGATAGATTACGCTTCCTGAATGTAATCCTTGATGTTATGAATATATTTCACTCAAATGCATTACCCACGTGACGTGACGTGTAATCATTTATTGAATTTGTTTATTTATACCTCTACGTAGTTACTACGCTGCGAAATATCAAGTATCTGATTGGAGAACGCAATCGGAAGTTTACGAATGGTCTGGTAATTCTAAATCGATTATTTCAAAGCTCAAACGGGTCAGCTGTCATGTATATATAAGTATTTTAATTTAGATTGCATGTTGATTATTATGTAGCTATATGTTTGTTTACTAGATATTTTAAAGGTGACATGTAAAAGAAAGTAATAATTCGAAGGTCATTGTTTAATTTAGCTATGAAACTAGTTAGATATCCGATTAGTTACAACTCGTTGTTAGAATTTCCTACATTATTGCTGCAGGATTTATATTACGACAGGGCGACATTTAATGCAGGATTTCAAATCGAAAAACAAAAAATACGTATGTTTTCATTACACTATATAGATGGATGAAAATTATTTTAGAATTACACATTGATTACCGATTCATGGTTAAATAACATTCTAAATTTTAAATCGAATTAAATATTCGATTCTACTACTATCAATTTTACTATCTTCTAACGAATTTTAAAACTGACGACCCTAGTTTTAGGGAACAAATTGTACCTATAAGTTTCTCAAAATTCTTTTGTTTTTACATGCATATAACATGTGACTTCATGCTGCCATAGTAGTTATAGTTAGGTACTATATGATTGGATTCCATGTAAACAGGAGATTCCTTTCAAATCTAGGCTATTCGGTTCCGGTTGTTGTCCTAACGATTGTAAGAGCAGTTTTCTTGAAAAAGTTCTACTTCTGCCTCGTTGGCCGAGTGGTCGCAAGTGCGACTGCCGGGCAAGGGGTCTCGGGTTCGATTCCCGGGTCGGGCAAAGTATTACAGGGTTTTTTTTAAAAAAAATCTCAGTAGTTGCACGGAATCTGGAAATGTGCCCGGTATTTGGCAATAGGTTCACCCCCTATTACATGGGACTCATAACATAAATAGTGAAAAGTGAGTATTACTCCTGTGTGCCCCTCTGCCTACCCCTTCGGGAATAAAAGGCGTGATGTTATTTATTATTATTTATTTAAATAGTTCTACTATTGTGGGTCTGCACTTATTTTTCATTGTTATTAATTTCCATTATCAATTACTCTGGCCGTATGGTCTGTGTCTGATATTTAATGAATTATTATTACAAAAAGCAAAAAGAACTGGGAGGAAACTTTAGTAGTTGGATTATAAATCTCATTCTCATCTATTTAAGTGTTCTTATAATAAAAATAACAAAAATAGTCTCTAAACACTGGATATAAGGTCTATAATGTAGTTATATAATTAATGGGTATTTAGTTTATAGTTAATATTTAGCTAAATTTTGTTATTTATGAAAAAAAATATATATATTTGCGTCATCTCCGAACCTCAGGACCTGAACTAATTGAACAATAAGCATGGTATAAACTACATTAAAATTTTAACGAGCGAACATTTTGTTCAATAGCCGCTATTTGTTTATATTTTCGTTATCTAGGTCAACAAACCAAATGAAACACATTGTCCAAAAATATATTCCAAGACCATCCCAAACTATACGCTTACTGGACGAGTGCCAGATTAAATAATTGTTAGAAATATCTTATTTTATGCCTAGCTTATACTGATGTTCCTTTGTTCATAGTATTTTTTTTAAGGGGGGAAAATCATCGAATGGCTTCTCTCGCCTGGGTGAGGCGGAAAGGAGTGTTAGACTCTTACTGTTTAAAAACCACCGCGTTCCTTCTTCTGCACTTCGACGCCGGAGCCCCGGTAACCCGTTAGGTTCTCTGCGATTGTTCATAGTATAAAATAACTTCTTTAAACGTCTTTCATTTCTTGAATCTTATACTCTTATATAAAGCGGAAGAGTTTGATTTTTGTTTGTTTGTTTGAACGTGCTAATCTCCGTAACTACAAGTCTGATTTGCATAATTCTTTTTGTGTTGGATAGCGCATTTATCGAGGATGGCTATAGGCTAAAACATCACGCTACGACCAATAGGAGCTGAACAGAGCCTGTGAAACCGCGCGGAAGTAGCTATTGGTTAAATTATTTATGGGTGCGTCTAATAATGTGGACAGAGTATATACACGATGTAATACCACGGTGAATTATGTTCGTTGCATATGACTTATGGAATGGAATGAGCCTGTGCCATATAGGTATCGAGCATGAATTCCAGTCTGAAATAGCGTAGATGACTAATTTTTATTTTAATATCCGTCTGGGTATTTAAAAACATCAGACATGTATTTTTATTTTCTTTCGAAAACGAATACTTTCGAAGATATATTGATTTGAAATATCGCGTGACGTCACTTTTGAGTACGACTCAAAAATGACGTAGCTACCCCCAACTCTTAAACGTTGACTCGTTTTTTTCGTCTAAGTATTGTTTTCTTATACGACAACATAAAAATATACGTTATAATTTTCATTACCTAACTGACGGACTAAATAGATTTTTAATTTCCATACCCTGACATCATCCCTATTAAGAATTTTTGTAAAACAGAAAAGTTATTATAAATAATTTGCTTGACACTGGAATCAACACTGAGAAACCTTATTTGAACTTGACCAATGATGTAGTTATTGATAAACCCATTTTAGACAATTGTTTTTAAAAATTAATTTCGAATTTTGTCTGCATGGTTGGCGCGATGGCAGGCCAACTGGCAGCCGTGCAACGTGCCGCGGGTTCGATTCTCGGAACAACTATATGTGTGATTCACAAATTGCGGTTCTAGGTCTGAGTGTCATATGTATGTGAAATTGTATGTTTATAAATATACGCACGACACAGAATAAAATCCTAGTGTGTGGCAACGGAAAAAGAATACCACAAAATCGGGAACTGTACCCGGTGAGTGCACCGATGCCAACGGACACTGGCCAATGTTAATCTATCGCAAGGGTCTTAAAATATGCAAGTAGCATTTATGATGTGAAGTTAGGTGCAGGTGCTAAGTGTGAAGTTAGGTGCAGGTGCTAAGTATTTCCAATGTTTCGTGGGAAATACAACACAATATATCTAGATGGTACTCTAATATGAAGTCGGAAAATTAAATATTATTGTATCACTTTGTAGCATTTGTTTTACAGATGGAAGGCAAACATTGCATTCACGACGTGCTCTTACAACTGACCGATGACATCAATTATCATTTTTGTATTCTATTACATTGTTCAGTCGATAGTGCATTGCTCGTTGTACTCTCGATTATACTAGCCTCTGCCAGCGACTACGCCCACGTTATACTCTGGAATAACACATAGACTACTTTTTATCCCGGATAAAGAGACATAATCTGTCACTGTGCCAAATTTCATTCAGATCCTTTCATTGGCGTTGGCCTGGCAAAAGTCAAAGCATTTATTTCAATTAAACCATAATTTGATACTTTTGAAACGTCAACAAATACAAAATAAATAATAGTCTTTCAGTCAGTCCGTCAGTGAAGCTAGGTGAAGCTAGGTGCTCATTCCAAAATGTAGATTCGAATGGAGAAGAACGAGCAAGAAACTCCATTCGATACTCTTTAAAAAAAAAGACAGAGTTTCAAAGACACATAGGTAGCTATATATTCTCACGCAATTTTAAATATTTTTGTTGCATACTTTTGAATCAGGTACCGTATCAAATTGGTTCGTTTATTGATGCCACAGACGATGACGACGACATGGTACGTCAATATTATAAAAACAGCGAGCGATTGACTGCTGCAGTATAATATATACTACTTTATTCGAGAATTATAACATGAAATGCCTTCTGAGATGATTACAGTGCCACATGGCTGATTTTAACAGAACATATTAGTGGTTTAACAATGTAATTAAGTAGTCAATCTATACATATAATAAAATCGTAGGAAAGTGAAAATTGTACATCGAACATTTTTTTTCAAAAGAATGCTTAAGTCGTGATCTATGAGCGATACCGAGCGCTAAAAATATAGCTATTACAATTTTTGTCTGTTTGTCTGTATGTATGTCCGGGCTAAACTCAATAAGTACTACATGGATCTACTTCAAATTTTGCATAAATATTACTAACAGGTCGGGTCAACATAATAATATAGACTATAGAGGTATATTATCACGCTATTACCTATGGGGGAGGAGCTGCAGATCACTATTCCACTCGGACGAAGTCGTGGGCACAGCTGGTATATTATAAAACTGTTACTGACGATCTGACGACTGCCAAACAGGCGGACTGTCTGAATAGGGAATGTAGGAACAGTGAATGGAAGGGATACTTTAAATACCTACATAAACAGGTATTGTCTTTAAGAGCGTGCAAAAGTAGAAGCTTGTAAAATTAACATGGCTTGGGTAACCTACCGTAGGTACCAGTTTGAGTATCATGATATTCGGAATTAGTCTATTGTTGTACATTACTGAGAATTGTAATCGATAATCCAATAACGTGAGCTTGAGCCGGAGCGGAACTTATAATAAGTACCTCTTGGAGTCTTGGATTAACAAAAGAATGACAGTATATATAAGGTCGAACCCTCTAAAGGTTCAACAGTCAAGGCAGAGCTGCACTTAATTATACATACATAATATGTATAGGTTTATATATGCCTATAATATAACACAAAAAGTGCTGAGAGCCCAAGGAGGTTTCTATCTGAGCAAATACCACCATTCCTGATTCAAATCCAATACTTCTTGCTTGGCAGTAACAATTGCGATCAATTAACATATTGTTGAGAATGGTAGTGAGTAGTTTTCGTTTCGTTTGCTCCTTCCATATTCTAAATAAGATTTTTGTAAATATTTTTATTCATACCATCCTACAATGTTACTTTTAAACGAATGAAGTGAATATGTATGGATAGAATTAAAGCATGTTTAATGTGATATTCGATATTAATTTTTTCAGGCGAGACTATTGAAAACATTTGTACATAATATGAAATAGAAACTCAGATCTTTTGATTTGTATATTTTATTTTTTTACTTTGTATTACGTCTTCTATACATCGAGGCTATGGGCAGAGGTGCGCATATTAAATGCAATACATACTTTACTCAAGTTGTGTATTATTATTACTATGGATTTGCATAACCTATTCACTCATATGAACGTAAAGCATGAACTTATCTCAAGGTTTATTTACCCTCGTACTTTTTCAAAGACATTTAACACGTAAGAGTAACAAAGAACAATACAATCAGTTTTACGTAAACAAATTATATTATGACTGAAACAATTTCTCACGGTATACTGACACTCAAGGGCGGGGTTCTAAATCTGTTCAGTCGTTTCAGCAATCGAGCAACGTTTACATAAGACATCTTACGTTCTAAGAAAAAATATGTTCTTCTTAAATTGTGCCTGGTTGTTTATGATTAATTACA